CCGGCCCGGGCGTCACGGCGCGGTGCCGCCCCCCGCGCGCCGGGCGCCTCTCCCCTCCGCAGCGGAGCAGACTGCGGTAGCAGCCGCCGGAGACGGCAACCAGTAGCCAAAGGCGAGGGAGCGCGCCGCGGCTTTGCGCCTGCCCTCCGTTTTTGTCCTTTTTTTTTTTTCATTCCGTGCCGCTGTGGGCGCAGAGCCGCGCTCTGATGCAGAGCGTGCGGCTGCTGCGCGCCGAGGAGATGCAGGAGCCGCCGCGCCAGCCTCTGCTGCCTCCCGTCCCTTGAGGCGGGGACGGGGGCGCGGGGCGGCGCGGGGCCCGCCCGCACCAGCGGCCATGGACAAGCTGCCCCCCTCCATGCGCAAGCGGCTCTACAGCCTCCCCCAGCAGATAGGGGCCAAGGCGTCGATCATGGACGAGGAGGAAGACAGCGACAAGGACACTCGGAGGAAGAGCATCAGGCTCAAGCCGCTGCCTTCGCCCTCGGCGGGCAGCACGCGGGCGCTCGCCGGGGACCCCGGCAGAGGGGGGGACCCCGGCCTGCTGGAGAGCGAGGCGGGCGGCAAGGCCGCCAAGAGCAGCACCAACGGCGACTGCCGCCGCTTCCGAGGGAGCCTGTCCTCGCTCGCCAGCCGGCACCCGCACGACGCGGCCGAGGAGCGGCGCCTCATCGGCGGCGAGGGCGAGCCGGCCTCCCCCGGCGAGGACAGGAGCCCCCCCGGCAGCGCGGGGCCGGAGCCGGCGCTGCGGGAGCCGCCGGCCTCGCCGCCCGAGCCCCGCCAGCAGCCGCCCCCCCGGGCCTGCTCCTCCAGCTCCATCAAGGTGGAGGCGGGCGGAGGCGCCGAGCAGATCAGCCCGGACGAGGAGCAGCGGCTGGGCCAGTCCGGCTTCATGCAGCGGCAGTTCGGGGCCATGCTGCAGCCGGGGGTCAACAAATTCTCTTTGAGGATGTTTGGCAGCCAGAAGGCCGTGGAGAGGGAGCAGGAAAGGGTTAAGTCGGCCGGGTTCTGGATCATCCATCCCTACAGCGACTTCAGGTACAGCCCCCCTTCCCGGCCCTTCCCCTCCCTGGCCCGCTCAGCCCTTCCTTCCCGCACAGCCTTCGCACCCTGGGATAACTTTCCTGGCTAATTTTCTAGTTTCTTTCAGGACAAATCCAGTCAAACAATCTGCAGGGTACATTTATATTTCAGCTAAATTTTAGTGTTCTCAGGCTAGTAGTAATTTTAAATTATAATTCTGAACGAGCACGCATCTCCCCCTTAGGATTTCAATGAAGGCAAGCCTCGCCGGAGCCGAGCATGAATGGGGAGAAATGTCCCCACCTGATGCTCAGCTCCAGACCGAAGCAGAGTGTCTGCAGCTTAACTGCTCCCGAGTGTGCGGCCCAAAGCGTGCGCTCTGCCTGGGCAATAGCCCAGCTCCCGTTGGGGAAGGACRTTGCCTCTGGTGGCCACAGGGCTGGGCAAGGACGTGGCCTCTGGGGGCTGCCCGGCTGCTTCCCGCAGCACCCAGCCTGCCCGGGCACCTCAAGCCCCTCACGGCCACGCAGAGAAAGGTTTCCCTGCACATCTGCAGATACTCATTTGCAGAATTAATTAGGGTGGAGACTGGTTACCGTTGTCTTTGGGAGAAGAGATGCCTTTTTTTCCACTTGTTTGGCAGTATTTCCATGAAGGTTAGTACGGGTATTAACTTGTAAGCGGTAGGGCCCGAGCAAAGGATTGGGTTCAGGTATTTCAGAGTTAAGCATTGTCTGCTGCACAGGTGACTTGTCCTCTGCAATATGTATGTAAAGTGCTGCAATCAATAATTAATTACTTAGTGCAATCAATGGGCAGGGTTTATTGCTTCAACTTTAATTACGACTGGCTCACATCTCATATAAAAGCACAGAGTGCAAGAACATCATTCGGAGACATCTATCAAATTATATACTGATTTTGTTAACATTTTGGACTCTTCTAGACGCCCTRCATTATTCCTTATAACACAATTAGTGAGAGTCTCGCAGGATGGGGTTGCAGGGTGGTCAGAACCCCCTTGGCACTAYGTTTAACAAGCACTTCATACGCTTGGAAGATTCCGAACTGGCGCTGCACAGATTCCTTGATATTTGCTTGGATTAGGAAACGTTATTAGAAGGCTCTGTGAGCTGGAAGCCTGCATGGTCATTTAGATTCTGTGCAGTCCAGGATCCCCAGTGTGCAAAGGGTCCGAGTAGCTGCATTGTGATACTGAGTCCTTGCAAGCTTGATCATTTTGGAAAGGGGATAAAATTCCTTTCAAGTGGTATCTCGCAGTGGAAGGTGAGAGTGCTTGCCTTTTTAAAGATTATCAGCAATTTCGTTCTCATGGCTCCAGATTTGCTTGCCATGAGTCTGTTGTTGAAAACAAACACATCGCAGGGCTGTCCTGGCTGTTATCTGCATGTTAGTGCCTTGAGTGTGAGTGGATTTATCYCAAAGTAGCCTTCAGTTTGCTTGTCTTCTCTGCATATACCTAGAGCGGATTTATTCCATCCCCTCCATCTCTATAACTGCATTCTCGGCATCAAACCAGCCTGGCAAACTTCTATGAGAGCACTGTAATAGTAGCTGCCATAGCCACCTTGTCCAAGGTGAGACGATGCTGAAAGGTTGTTTGGCGGGGAGACAGGTCCAGAATTCCTAGATTCCTTATAATAGTGCAATAAATGGTAGGTTTTTATTCCTGGGGGGCTTGACAATAGGGCCCCTGCCAGCCTCGTGCAAAGGAAGGAAATAAGCTGGATGTTGGACTCTGCCAAGCCCCAGGATCACTGCTGGCACTGGGGTGTTCGCGTGCACGTATGCGACCCGTCGGCATTAATAATTCAATCCTCCCGATTTAGCCCAGCATTTGTGCGGAAGGAAGGCAGCGGGAAAGGGTGTCCGTGCCCGGCGTAGGGCGGCTCTGTGTCGGGTTCCAGGTGGGCTCATCCCCTGCTGCCTCGTGCTCCTTCCAAAGCGATGCTGAAGCCCAGCGTGCAAACACTGCGCTTTCAGCCTGCAGTTATGTGTCAGCATCAGGCGGGGCAGCGGCACTGCCGGCACCAGGGACACTTCTCGAGAGGCCGGCAGGAGGTGCATGAGCTACTGTAGGGTCACTGTTTAGGGTGCTTTGGGGGAACTTTGGTCCCCTCTGCTAATTTCGAGGTCACTTGCAGTCTATTTGTCTGACTGCACTGMGGGAGAACGTGTGGACTTCCACCAYGAAAGGGCCCGTGAACAAGGGCTGCGGTGAAGGAGAAGAGTGGGAGCCTGGCTAGGTTCTGGCAGGGTTTTGTATCCCTCCCTTTGCTGAATGCTGCTAAGGCATCTCCCTTGGGAACAACTCACATGAATATGAATAACATTTTTTGACCTCTGAAATGCAGCAGATTGCACCAAACAGCAGGTCTTATCAAAATATTTAGAGAAGCTGTATATCCTTGACCCAAAGGACTTTATTTTCTCCTTTACATATTATGCAATGCAGTGCTGAGCGCTCCTGGCTGAAGATGGGCACAGATCTGGGAGCATTAGGATGTTGTAGCAAGAGGCACGAGTCTCCATTCTCCTGCACTTTGCCTGGACACTAAAGCCCTACATCTGATACAAAAGTTTCAAGTTAATAAATATTCAGACCCAGATCTTGTTTYGTGTCTTTTGGGGGAAACCAGTTTCACCTCTGAGAGTGACTCTTTTACCACCAGGCTTTTCTCGGGTCTCCAAAAGTCCTGACTCTTGTCTCAGCACCACTCCAGATGCCACCTACCCCACTTGCTGGGGCTTGATTCTGGTGCAGAGCTTCCTTAATTTACTTACCACTTTAACATCCAGTATGGCCAATTTCCACGGTAAATCTGTGACCCTCCCAGAGTAAAGCACATTAATATGGACTTAGACTCTGTTGGTTTCTGCTTTTAGTCCATTGTGAGGGGAAAAGATGTGAAATGACCTTTACAGAAGCCAGATATGATGCCCTGGAGTACCCATGCCTACTGCAGAGGCTGGTGCCTGTAAAGGTGCCCGAGGTTTTGGGGCGAGAGCCGGCACTGTGGCCCACGCGCCGAGGTACAGGGCACGTGCGTGCCAGCGCCCTGAGCCTCTCCGCACCACGGCTCCTTGCACGGCAGGCCACAGGCAGCGGTGCTTCCCGGATCAAGATTTATCGGAGGCACTGAAAGCTTTTTCGGAGGATAGAGAGAATTGTAATTTATTACTTAGAGGAAGCATTGATCCAGCACAATTGGTTTAATAAAAAAATCCCAGACAAATACTGATCTGTCTGGTCTGCCGTCAGCTGAAGCGTGTTGGTGGTAGCTGCTGTCCAGATTTGCTCGCAAAAAAATGTGTAGCGGGCTGCTTTTAGAGGGCCTGAGAGCAGACCCGCTATCTGAGAGACCAAAATAGTCCAAACTGTGGATGTAAATAGAACTGCACATTATTCACTGCCCAATAACCTATTAACGTCTTCACAGAAGAGAGAATCCGGTGCTTCCTTGAAAACAATGGAAAATATCCTGTTCTGAAACCATCTTGATTTCAGATTTTGGGTATTTTTTTTTTCTTCGTGTTGTTCTTTTTCTTTTGGATATTTGTCTGCAAGCGGAACTTTTGCTTCCTTGGCTTCCTTTGTGCGCTCCCATATTGCCTTGGGAGCCTGAGCACATTCTGGGGGCAGCGAAAGGATTGAGGGGATAGGCCTGGGAATTCCTGAAAAATGAAGCCTTTTCCTCTCCCATGTGAATCTCTTCAGCGCTGATCTGAGTTCCCTCGCTTGGGCAACCTGGGCGATCTACTAGTCCTGGGTCTGAATTCTGCACCCAGCAGCTGTGCTGGGGTCGAGCACGACCGGGAAGGCTGCATGTTCCTCCCCTTCCCGCTAGCGGGGGACACGGCTGCCTTTCCTGCAGGTGACCTTCCTGGCCGTTTGGCTGAAGCAGAACAAGGGGACTGAGCGGAGAGAACCTGAGGGATGATCTGGATCCTGCTGACCGTGTAGGTTAGGTTTCTGTTGTCTTCAGTGGGCTGTGAATCAGGCTGCAGGAGAACAAACACAGGTTGGTGACCACGAGCTGAGGAGCCCGGCGTGGCACAGCCACAGTTCCCGTGTCCTTGGGCGAGCAACCCCTTGCTCCGTGGGCAGGAGTGCTGGGGCACTGTGGTCCTTCCTAGGTGACATGTTCGTTGCCAAAGGCAATGTTTCCAGGCAAGAGGTTCCCCATCAATAAAAGGCTTCGGCTATTACTGCAAATATGTCTTATGACCATAGTTACGTCATATTACAATATTTTCCTATATGTTCATGTGCAGAAATGAGGTAAGAGGGTACGAATAAGGCAATAGAATATGGATAGATACTAAATAGATGCTAAAGCGAGCAATGACGTTAAAGGAAGAGCCCTTATTAAGGTTTCCAGCACAAACTTAATTCAGGCCCTTTGTGTGGGTCTCTGCCTGCGGGTGGGCAGGTTCTGCACAGCCCTGCTTCCTTCAGGGGGCTCAAGGGACGGTTGTTCCTTTGGGAGAAACCCTTTGACGCTGTCCCCATCGCTCCCTGTAAGGAGGCCTGCTTGGGTATTTATTTCATCTTATTCAGATCTCATTCTGAATAAACAGCCTCATTTCCGCATGGCCCTTTTCCTATTTTTTTGGCACTTATGAAACATTCAAATCTAAAAGCAATAAAGCCCCTATGGAAAATCTCTTCCCYGCAGGCATCTGCCTCAAAACCTTCCTCTCGTTTTGAAGGAGGCATCATTGCCATGCTGTGGGAAGAGCTGGTTTGCACCATCTCATAACCGTAATTCACATGCGCGGCTCCGCGCGGCTCTGCTGTTGTCTAACCCGAGTGGCTAACTGTGAATGTGGAGCTTCGCTGTGTTCTCGTTAGGGCTTTGAAGCGCCAGCGGACGCCCGTCGTGGTGACGATGACATCTGCGCTCGGGAGTGGGTGGCATCTCACGCGGATGTGCTGTGCGGGGCCAGGGCGTTGCAGCACGAGGGGGACGGTGGTTCCTCTCCTTCTGTAT